CTCCAACCTACTAGTGATGGTCTGCAACCTACTGAGCAACCGCCTCCAACCTACTAGTGATGGTCTGCAACCTACTGAGCAACTGCCTCCAACCTACTAGTGATGGTCTGCAACCTACTGAGCAACGGCCTCCAACCTACTAGTGATGGTCTGCAACCTACTGAGCAACGGCCTCCTTCATACATTCTGGCGGCCCACACCGGTCGATGTGATGCCCGCGGTTTTCACGGCGGTCGAACCCGTGATGACACCGTGGCGCAGCCCGCTTACGCAGAACTCGAGGCCTGAGCCATCCGAGTTCTCGATGAAGCCGAAGCCCTTGCCTTCCACAAACCTCACGGAGTTCAGGGCAGAGACGAAACCTCCGCCTTGTTTCTAATAGCTTCTTGTTACTACTAGTAAGGCACTTGTTACTACTAGCGATGCACCTGTTACTAATAGCTTCGTGTTACTACTAGATTGATATTCATTGATATTCATTCGATGTGTTCCCCAATCACTTGATGGTACAATATGTTACTATATGTTACTCTACGTCCTTTCCACTCCACAATTGCCCGCCTCTTCAGGGTTCCGACGTGTGCCATGCTTCCTTCGGATGCGGGTGTCCCTCGTCGGGTGCTCGTGCTCTGGTCCAGTGGCTGCAGGCGGAGCACGTTGGGAGAACAGTCACAGATCGTTCAATACCTGTTCCATCCTGTTCCCAGAAAGACATGGAATGTTTAGTGACTTGACTTCTGCATTTAGGTCATAATCTCCGGTCCTTTTGACCATTCCTTCAAGTCCTTCACATCATTCCGGTTCCGCAGATGAAGATTTTTCACAGATCCGTCATACAGCATGCAGCGCAAGCCCTTCGATGCACGCAACGATGTGAAAACCTCTCTACCAGAACAAAGAGCCCTGCACAAGCCACCACACCTCTGGAAGCTTCACAGAGGCCAAAACAAGGCTATGCAAGGCAAAACTTCTAACCTGTACAGAGGAGGTTCCACAAATAGACTATTTCGGAGAGCAGTTGGCCACAAGTCAGCTTTGGTCCTGGAAGAATACTAAGACCACTAAATTCATTGTACACGATGTCACTACAAACGCAATGGAAACATGCAAAATCCTTCACCTAACCAACTGAGAGCTCTCCAGGTGCTTCAAGGCCCCGTCCGATGTCCTTGCCCGGTCCGAGCCGCACGTGCTGTGAGCTCCAGTCACAGCACTCTTCGCCCGGTGTGGCACTTCAGTACGGATCATAGCCTGCGCTTCCAGGTTGGAGGCCATCGCTTTTGCAAACAAATAAGACCCAGACACTCCATGTAGCGAATACAGTATATGATGCCTATACATTGATCCCTGGAACCACCCCAATGTAGGTCAATATGACATACATGGAGTGTCTGGGACATTGATATGTCGACAAAATGCATTCAAGGGTGTTGCACAACATCGGGAACATCAGGAACATCAACAACCAGCTGGTCACCAGCTCTTTGGATTGAAATTGGCCAGTTGGGACCAGGCTCCTGGGAATTCCCACCTCACACGGCTGACCCTTCAGCTCTCGAAAGCAATGACATCTCCCAAACCAAATGGAAATTCTGGAGTTCTTCGCACCCCTATCGCTTCAGACGGTTGGAGGCCATCGCTAGCTTGGAGGCCATGGCTCAGACGATAGGTGGCAATTGACATCCAGATCCATAAAGGCCAAGCGGCGATCACGCTTGCCAGAGCCTTTGCTCCGGCCATAGTCGCGGTCGCGGTCGCGGTCGCCGCCACCTGGAGCCCGGTGTGGAGTGCGACGGAGCAGCGTTCCTCAAACGTGGAGTGCGGATGACTGGTTGGTGGATTCAACTTAAAACAACTATGAGTCGGTGGGTTCAATGATCCCAAGTAAAGCTTGAGAATAAAAATATCTGAAACCACCACCCATGTTAAAAGGATGCTTCCCAAGTATTGTGTACATGTGTAAGTCACGCATTTCCATGAAGGGCGAATTTTGCAAAATGCCCTAGACTTCCAAAACCATGACAAAAATGGTTGACCTGGTTCCGTAGTGTTAGATTCTTAGTAGAACAATGGTAGTTCGGTAAAGCCTATTAAATAATGGTGGTCGGAAGCCTAGGGATGTAAACGGAAGCCTAGATCGTGTGGGATCTGATGATTAGATATGCGTCAGAGGCTTCAAATCGGTGCTCCAACCGGATGTTCTCCAAACACCTCCAAACCGTGTGAAAAGATGAAGACCCAGACTCCATCAATTCCACTCAGGCGACCCTGGATGACCCGGGTCGCGTCGAGCGTTCGGGATCGTCACCGGCGAAACAACGTCACCTGAACCGCCGTTCGTGAGGGTCACGTTGGTGGCGCGATTCTTGCCGCTGCGCCGGTCCTGTTCAAAAAAAGAAACTGGACCAACCAAGAGAGGTTAAGTGACCTGAACTAGGACCGGGGTAATTATGGGATAGTCTATAGGGTCTTTCAACCTCTGTTGGAATCCTATTGGGTTGGAAGTTTGGAGCTGCGGACGGCTCGGATTTCGCCTGGTCTCGGGTGCCGCTACACGAACGGAGCGGTCAGGGCATCGCTACGAACGGGGCACTCCAGGCCGTGCTATATACTAGTACCTAAGAAGCGACTAGAAACAAGAAGCTACGTTCGGGGCTCCTGGCATCGCTACGAACGGAGCGATCGGACGCTACGAGTAGGGGCGAAACTGGCCGTACTACTAAGAGCAAAGAAGCTAGTACCTAAGAAGCTATTAGTAACAAGTGCATCGCTTCTAGGAACAAGTGCCTTACTAGTAGTAACAAGGTTCGCTACGAACGGGAGCATCAGTTACCTAAGAAGCTACTATAGTATACAACTAGTAACTGATTTCAGGTCGCTGGTCGCTGGTCGCTTCGGTTTCGACCCCGCACGACGGTCCTCCTCGATGTCAAAGCTCATCTCCGCGCCCACGACCATGTCTTCCGATCCGCCGTTCGTCAGGTTCGTCACATGCACGAAAACATCACCTGGATTTCGTGAGCTGAGGTGAGGATGTTCATCTTCAGCAGTTGGCGTTTTTTGTGTACTGAACATTAGGGAGAAAAAGTTTGACTCTCTGGAAGGAGGAAGAAGATGGGAAAATAGACCAGTCTACCTATTGGGCCAGGAGGCTCTCCCTAGTGCAATAGACCCCTGTGGCTGGAGGGTCAGAGGGAATCCCTGGAAGATCTGCAAAAGGTCAGCGCTGGGCCCGCCCGGCCGGAACCATCCGAGTTCTCGATGAAGCCGAAGCCTTTGCCTTCCACAAACCTGACAACTGCTGGAAGAATGCTACTAGTAGCAAGGACACTATTAGGTGGAGGCCATCGCTATTAGGTTGGAGGCCATCGCTACTAGTAACAAGAAGCTACTAGTAACAAGGGCATTACTACTAGTAGCAAGAAGCTAGACCCGAGGTGGTAAGGCCATCATACCATCACGATTCGATACTGTAATAATGTCAATATCTGATCTGATGTCGTGTAGCAACTTGAAACAAGCTCCACCTGTCGGGTATCCCCTCCGTTAATCAACCAACAAATAGTAAAAGGATATCTTTGCAGTGACCATGAAAAAAATACAAATAACTGCTTTAATCTGATCCATTTGTGGTTTCGCCATGTAAGTGCTTATACTGAGACATGCATATCTTTGAGGCAAGCATATGACTACAGGCAGGATCCATCACCACCACAGCTGAAACTCACAAAAAAAAAACATACCGTTGTAAAAATGTGATTTTGAAGACCCTGCAAAACTGTCGATATAGCAGAGCCAGCTGTGTCATCTTAACTTGATCAAAGATATGAAAGTATCACCGTCACTTTCTTGGGCATGGTGATGTCATTGTCATGCGTCGGGCATGGACTATGGTTTTTCATGTCATGGACCGCCTTGAACGGATGGGTTGAACGGCATCTGGCACAGACCCAACACCAGTTCCGGCATGTTCCGGCCAATGGGTGCCAACTACGATCGACCCCGCAGTCCGTTCTTCAGATCTTGGACCAATCTCTTCCAGCTTGGAAAGCAGTAAAAGTCTCTACCATGCTCGAACCGAAGAAAGGACAAGAAAAGACCCCAAGGCGGATCCACCCAAGGGGAAAACAATCAATCCAAAGGACTTGGTCCTTGACCTCTTCCTACCAAAGACCTCGTTTCAACACCCCGGTTTGAATCTCCGGTCACCAGCTACTCCGAAAAAGGCCAGGCCCAACAAATCAAGTCGACATGTCTTCTCTGTGAACGTTTGAGGAAAAACATTTGAAAAAAAAAAACACGAAAAGCCAACCAGGCGTGACGGTTTGCGCCTCTTCAAAGTGCCGGTGTAGGACATGTCTTCAATCTGACTAAGCTTCTGATCTTCGGCCGTTCCCTTTTTGGAGCAGAAGCAGCTGCGGGCCGAGCCTAACTGGTGGCGAAACCAGGAGCCTGTGCTCAACAAGTGCATCGCTAGTAGTAACAGGTGCCTTACTAGTAGTAACAAGAAGCCAGTAGAAACAATAAGCTAATAGCTTCTTGTTACTAGTAGTAAGGCACCTGTTGCTACTAGCGATGCACTTGTTCCTAGTAGCTTATTGTTTCACGTCACCTAGATATTGGATTTTGCGAAAGCCCCCAAGAGATCGAATTTCGTGAAGAACGACACATGGAGCGGAGTCGACACAGGTCAGGGCAGCTGGTGGAGTGGGAAAAAAAAGAATTGTCATGTACTTTTTGCTATTAGGCCATCGCTACTAGGTTGGAGGCCATTACTAGTAACAAGAAGCTTTTTGGTATGTCTTTAGTCTTTGAAACTGCTTGCAAAACTGCTCCAGAACTCGCCGCAAATGCCAGATCAACGACGACGTCATAATTACGGGACAGTTGAGTACGATTCTCAAAACCGGCCGCGTGGAGACTGAGCAGTTCCGGCCATCACAAAGCTTGGACTCGTCCACAATCACAATAAACCTCAGGGTGCTGAGGAGGGACCAGCGTCAATGAGCCGAAGTGTTTGCTCGGCTCAGCTCCGAGAATGCGTCTACGGCGTATACTAATCATTAACTCTAAATATCTCGAGGGGTGCAACAGGATTTCCCGCCTTTTTGAAGAGTCAGTCGGGGATCCATCAACTGGAAACTTCAGCGGAAGCACCCCGGGTTGGAGCCCATTGCTACTAGCTTCCTTTTGCTATTAGGTTAAAGGCCACATCACATCATCACAAAATCAACCGCAACTCGGAAGTGAAAAAAATGTGTCAATTCCTTCACAAAATGCATGGACACCCTGGTTCTTCAACTTGGACACCCTGCACGGGTGATGTCAAGAGCCAAAATGACGTCCTTGTCTCACAAAAATCCCTCCCAATCTCCCTCTCAGGTGTCAATCTCCCTCACCAAGCCACTTCTTTGCACACATCTCTACGATCTTTTCCCGGAAGAGCGCGCCTCCTCCGCCCTGGAGCAGCGAAAAACAGCACCGTGAACCCGGTCCGCGGCGTTTCGGACAAAGAATGCGCGGACGGGATGTCCAGCGGAATGAGGACTGCTGTCGGAGAAGGAATCCTTCCATACCCAGACTCTCAAATGGCACATGGAATATAGATGCCTTGCCCGGCATTGCCCGGGAGGACGATCCGGGGTGAAGAGAAGGACGATCCAGTGTCACAAGCGGAAAGACGGTGAACCGCTTGGACGAAGATCGGCCAAACGAAGGTCGGCCGTGCAGAGAATCAAGACGCAGTGACAACATGGCCTCTCAAGTGGTCCAGGGAAAGAACTGCAGGGTGGTTTGATACACACTTTGACTTGATGGGGGCAGAATCCGATGGTTTCATGCGCTGGCTGAAGAAAAAGGGACGGGCCAAGCATCTGGAGATACACTTTGTTGTAGCACTGTCTTGGTGATTGAGCTGAGTCTGTTTTCGCAAGTTCGTTGCTGTGGATTCTCACACCGAGTTCCGAGTGAGGGTAGACATACTGCAAACAGGGCGAGCCCAAACGTACTGCCGATGAGCAGTACGGTGTCGCCCAGGGTGAACCACCGCGCTGCTGAGTGTCTGGCTACTGGCAACGAATGGAATAAGAGGAAAGTGGCGAGGAGAAGAGGTGGGAGGGAGCATTGTGAATGATAAAATTACAGTAAATCCAAGTAAGGTCAACCAATGAACTCAAATTGGTTGGGGCGATTTAGATGCAAACTTCTGATGGGGTGTCTTCGACTACCAATCATTCTTCTGCTTTCGGAGCACGGGAGAACCCAGTAGCACGCATTCGGCGCTGCGTGCCAATCGGGGCGTTCCTCGCCTTGACCAAGTTCAGAGCTGGGTCCACCTGCAAAGGACCAGCACAGAAGGAGGATAATTTCCCTAAGTTTGAAACAACCGTCGCTACTAGTCGCAAGGACGCTACTAGGTTGGAGGCCATCGCTACTAGGGTGGAGGCCATCGCTCTTAGCCTAAAGGTCTGAAGCGATGGCCTCCACCCCAGTAGCAATGGCCTCCAACCTAGCAGCGATGGCCTCCAACCTTGTGGGCAAGTGGCCGTGGTCTTCTTTATCTATAAGATTCTATAAGTTTGCGGACTTCCCCGCCCCATCTAATTCCATATCACTTTCAACAAGCACCTGCTTAGATCTTCCACAACTATTCAGGGCAGTCGTCAGCAGGGAGAGTCTCTTATCCCCGCTCCGCCGCTCCTCATCTGCCCCATCGATGGCCACATCCAAGTCCTCATTTCGATCTTGACATAAGGTGGGAACTGCAGTTCCGGGCAGAAGTTTAGCTTATGGATGATCTTGATCCATTCGAAGCCGAGGGCGGAATGGAAGCGATAGCCGCTGAACTCTATCAAAAGGCCAATTTGGTCGTGGATCAGCTTGAAACGCTTTCGTTTCAAATCCCTGCGCAGTTCGCTTGACATCAAGCGACAGCCATTGGTAGACTACGGTCGACTGAGAGTCCCTCTCTGCAGGAGTGCAGTTGCCCACGTGCACCGAATGTGCACTCACTTCCTCTATGGGAAAATCTTCGAAGAAGAACACAGTGCCCAGAACAACTAGTCCAAACACGGAATCGGCCTATAGCATTGCCAAATGAGACCGGGATTCTGGGATGCCCTCCAACCTAGTAGCGTCCTTGCTACTTGGAGCGGATTTCTTGCTGAAACGTGTGAGGTCCAGAGCCATTCCGACTGGGCTGCCCGTCGATTTCGGGCAGCGGGGAGTCCAAAGGTATCCCACAAAGGTTGACCCTCCAACCGAAGTGCGGCCTCCAACCTACTTGCGATGGCCTCCACCCTAATAGCGATGACCTCCAAGGTATCCCCGATGTCCATTCCACAGAGGTTGGCCCATGTCAATAAGTGTCGCTTCTTTCATCATCCGGCAAGGTCAGTTCATAGTGTGGACAGTTTTGGAGTCCCTTTGGCCCCCAGACTGGCGCTATGTCAAACAAAAGTCATACAACTATCCTTGTACCGAAATAAGCCCCTTGAAATCCCCAAATCCTCCACGTCCGGTGGGTTGATCGCCTCCGGTTCCAACAGCTGACCTCAAAGGTCGTCGGAGACCCCAAACCCGGCCGCGACGGCCGCGACGGAGACCGTGCCAGACCACGGAGACCGTGCCCAACGGGACACCGCTTCCGAGCTGCAGAGTGGGTGTCCAGAGTGGCCAGGGGAATGCCCAAACCTTCGGCCTCGCACGTTGCGCGGCACGTTGCGCGGTTGGTTCAGCTGAGGAAGAAACGGCCACAGATCAGGGTGGGCCCTGAAGATCTCCGCCCTGAGGCTTGTTTCATGATTATTTCGGGACATTTCGTCCTCGTGTGTTCTTCATGTGCTTGAAGCAGGGGTCCGTTTTTGGATGTTTTTGGAAACTTCTGTTCGGAATCACAAGTGCCACTAGCCACTAACCTTGGCCTCAATCTTTGAGCAAGAAGAGAAGAAGAAGAAGAAGAAGAAGAAGAAGAAAGAAGCAAAAGAAACCTGTACTGTATGTTGCTGGGGAAGCCTCTGGTTTGGTTTTTGTTCGCTCTGGCCCAGCTCTTGTTGAGTAAGTCCCAGTCGTGGCACGTTTCAGTGTGCCAAACCAGCTACAGGTTTAGCAACCGTCTAAGACAGGCTCCCATCCTTCAACCCCCCCACCCTGCTTGCCTGCTCCTTGGTGCGAATGGATGTAGGAATGGCTATGATGTCCTGAAGGTGTATTGCAACAAACCCTGAGATACGACCGGACGGTCTAAGTCTATGCATTGAATCACGAAGGGGCTCAAGTTGGCTCAAGGTCCGAAAAGAGAACATTCCAAGAAGCAACAACTGCATGGTGAGGCTATGAACAAGACCAATTTCAGCCAGGAGATATATATATCTATGCAGAAGTTGTGCAAGAACAAACATGCTTCGTCTGGAGGGGGTCCAAAATCCAGCCAAGAGCGATAAAATGTCAATGTCCCTGCGCAGTGCCAGATCAACTGGCATGTTTACTCTGGTCTGAAAGCATATTGCTCGAACATCAGGATGATGTGGCTTGGTAAGGGTCTCCACCAGAAATACTTGGTAGTTTTGAACAACAAAACATTGTTGCACATACAGTAGATGGATCTTAGGTGAAAGGTGATCTCATTCAAGGAAACCTTGAAAATGCACCCTTGCGGCACCGTCCCACCGACGAATTCGGAAGACCCGGTTCTTCTAACAGCATTCCTGGAAGTTCCATCGTTCAACGCCCAGAGGACATCGGCGAACCCCGGTCCACGCGCGGAGAAAACCACGAGCGCGTGTCCCGGGTTGGAAGGCGTGCCCACACGCGAAATCCAGACGGCCTCGCATGTGGAATGACCACCCCGTGCCTTCAATTCGCCACTCTTTAGCTTCTCGCCCACCCGTTCCACTGCAAAGGCGGCGGTGGAGCCTTGCAACGAAGGTTCGGTGAGAGGCACGAGTCGAGAACGAGGCGTCCGCTGAGGGAGATGACGTTTGGGAAACAGGCTGACCTCAAACTCCACGACTGCTAGTAGCGATGCCAGGAGCCCCTAGTAACTGCTCGTAAATAGACTGATGGCTTTTGTGAGCTGTGTGAATTGCTTCCTCTTCACACACATGGCGCTTCTTCTGAAAACGTTCTTCTGCACTTTCTATCCAAAGCTGGCTTTCAGGACGTTTGCATAGAGCTCAGACCTTCACAAACCGATGGGCGCCATACAAGAGTGAACCAACCGGACCTACACAGTTTGCCAGCGAATGCTGATGAATGCTGTTGGTTTGCAGATCTCAGATTCACTTCCTTGCTGCAGCAGGGGTATGCTTTGTCGGCCTTGCCTGTGCCCAGACCGATCACGGTTCCACTCTTCACGTAGTCATCCACAGCCTGAGGCTCTGCAACCGATCGTTTCGGGGACGAAATCTAAACGACCAGAGGTTTGAGTGCCAAAGGTAATGTTGACATAGGATTAAGTAACCACCGCTCGACCCCTCCAATACTAAACTGATTGAAAACCTAGATTTCCACCTTGGCATCACCCTAATAATTGTTTCCTGTGCAGAAACCTCCCCCTATTAGTCAATCCCAGCTCCCCCAAACAAAAAAAAAAGGTTAATATGGTTTAATTATATGTATGTATTGATTATTGACTTTATTTTTTCTACTATTCAATATCCAATATCTTCTGGTCCATGGTGAAACTGATCTCCTGATTCTCATCATCCTCAACATGAGGTGCTCATGGTTCTCATGGTTCAAACTCTCATCTCCTCATGTCCCATACACTCAATCATCATCCATCATCAGGTCCAGGTCCTCTTCTCATCATCCATCATCAGGTCATCGGCTTTATTAGGGGGATGTGATCTCCAAAACCTCCAATCTCAAACCTTGTTGACCTTGAAGGGGGGGGCCGTTGATTAATCCTACCTCGACATTAAACATCCTCTTCCAGAAAAGCGCAGTTTGACTACTAATCAGTCTCTGTCCTTTCTCAATATTTCTCAATTTCTGGACTTGGCAGGGTGTCTCCCCGTTCGCTAGACTGGCCGAGTCTCCTGTTGGGGGTCGAGACCCGTCGCTGGAAGTCCAGGCGTCGCCATTCCACGCTCCGTCCAGCCTTGAAGCCGACCTGTTTCTTCAACTCGTCCTACAAAGTGCCGCCGGCCGTGCACATTTTTATGCAAGTCTAGTATGATTGGGACGAGTAGTCCCTGAAACACCAACTGACTCAACGAATCGGGTGTGCTTTCAAACAGGGAGACCTCCCCAGTTTGACCCGCTGGAATAAGAGGGCCAAAAAAAACAAAACCAACCTGGATCTGGGTTAGTGAGCGAGTATTAACAAGGAGCTATTTGGGGTTCCTGGCACAACTACTAGGAGCGTTCGGACGCTACTAGTAGGGGCTCCTGGCCGTCCTACTAATAGCAAGAAGCGAACGAAGTAGACCAACTCATGTTTCTCCGTTCTCTCCTGACTGGCCCGGCGAGCAACGCCTCGGTGCCGATTTGGTTTCGCTCGAAGGGACTCGTCTGGACTCGTCCAGGCGGTGGTTCTCCACCGCGAAAGCCAGCGGCCAAACCGTCTTGAGATGAGATGTTTACGTATCAATCTCTCACAGATGCTGTATATACGATGATATGTTAGCATATTAATAATACTATATATATGTCATATTCACAGTAAGTAGATCTAGTTTCGAGGTATTTGGGTCTGAAACTTACAGTAGATCCAGTTTCCCCAACCCACCAACCAGCAGCCACTGGCTGCTGTGGCAGCGGCTGCTGTTGGCTGCCTGGCAACGAGCAGGAGGAGCGCTGGCGGTGAATCTGAGGGAAGGGTGTTGTGGGGAGATGAGGTATCCGAGCGACTCTTTCGGTCATTTTCCCCAAGGTGCAAGACGTCAAGTCAAGCTGTAAAGATGCATCAAAATGATACCCCCGCAAAGCCTTTTGCTTTGCCACTGTGCAGAGCACAGCGAAGGCTGGAATCCATCCAAGCTGCCACAGCCTTCTTGTATTTGACCGAATTGGTCAGCATAGGTCCCTCAGCAGACCCACTAGAAGTCACAAGTTCGTTCTCCTTTTTGGTAAGCATCTCCATGTATGCGTTCACAAAAGCGGCTTTGGCAGAACGTAGGTCATTGGTTGGAGGAAGGGAAATATGCACACCATCCGCTGCAAGGGCATCAATCTCCTGCCCAAAGTGATTTTCACATATGAAAAACGTACGCATCAGGTTTGTCAGGGGGAGGGGTGCACTCTTCACGGCTGAAAGGAAGTCTTGCTATCATTATTTTTTTACACCTTTGTTTCAAAGCTTGCAAAAGGAAATAAAGCCAAAAAGATTGTCCTGGGTCAGCGGATGGGCTGCCTGGATTGGTTCCTGTGGGCTCTTCTGTGTCTCCCTCTTTCTTTTTACCTGCTTGGCTCTGCGTGTCTCCTCAGTCTCTACCTCCGCTACGCTGGCCCTTGGCACACCTTTCTGGATCCATTTGTCATGCCAACGTTTTGAGGCCAGCCGATGGACTTGCTTTTGGGCCTCAGTCTTTTTCCAGGTCTGCTTTGTTTTCTTTACACTTCTTCGACCTGTCGTCACCTTCCTTGACCTGCCGCCTTTGGTCTTCTCTCTCTTGTTTGTTTTGCTCTGACCGCCTCTTGGCTTCTTTTGCATCTTCGTTTTGCCACCCTCCCCAGCCCCAGCCTTTTTTGACTTTGTCTTCGAGTCTGCATTCTGATTCTCTTCTGCCTCTTTCTGTGTCTTTCTTTCTACCTTGGGCTTCTGGCCGCTCTTGCTCTTTGCCATCTTTGCTGGTGGCTTTGTCTCCTGCTTGGGCAAGGGTGTCTTCTCGAGCGAGGCTGCCTTCTGCTCCTTGGGCAAGGGTGTCGGTGTCTTCTCGGGTGAGGTTGCCTTCTGCTCCTTGGGCAAGGGTGTCGGTGTCTTCTCTGGTGAGGTTGCCTTCTGCTCCTTGGGCAAGGGTGTCGGTGTCTTCTCGGGTGAGGCTGCCTTCTGCCCTCGGGCAAGGGTGTGTGTGTCTTCTTGGCCTTCTCGGTCGAGGGAGTCGCCTCTTTTGGTTTTGGGTCTGTCAACTTCTGGGTCAAGGGTGTCTGCCCTTCCGGAGCTGCAATCTCTTCTGCAGGCTTTGTTGGATTGTTCTCGGACTCCTTCTTCTCTGTCTTCTCGGTCTTCTCTTCTGTTAGGCTCTCCTTGCCTTGCCCATCTTGCCAAATCTCGTTTGAAACGGGTGCGTCTGGGTGCGTGCTCTCCCAAAACCCCAAATCCAAAGTCTCTTGGGAATCTGAGGGGAAAAGCTCTCGCTTGGGTGTTGAGGTATGGGGCTCCGGAAAGGATGGGGACGGACACGGGGCCGCCTTGCACTTAGCAGCGCTCCACCGGAACTGGGGTAGGCGTCGAAGCTCTGGTCGCCTGCCACAAGCTGCTGTGGGGCACACCCAAAGAGTCCTCAATAGATAGTCTAGTGTTGATAATGAACGGAATGAAAGGGAATGAAAGGCAACAGCACCAACAAGCCTGGTTTCTTCTGGTGGCAACACCGGCATTGCTGCAGATCCCAAATTGGGTTCCCAAGCATCAAGGCCATACTTCTCCAAACCAGCGAAGTCCGGCAGGACAGGTGAGATCGCGTGAAACCCACAACCAGGAGGGCTGGGCTCACTAAAGTCCACACCCTCCTGGGAATCCACATCCCACACAATTGCCGATCCTAGTTCCATCACACCTGCGTCCCCAAAACAAAGCCTGTTTGAAATTTGGAGCACACTAGAGCCAAAACACACTTCAAGCTCAGGTAAACTCACACAGTCCAGCACTGCCAGGAGTGTGAACCTTTCATTGCGGGCTTGGCGTTCAGCGAGGCATCTTTTCCGGGAGGGCTCAGTGTGAGGCGTGTTTCAGCTGCATTACCCCTCGAGTAGTCTAACAAAGGGCCCAACACGGCTATAATTAGAAGTTGTTTGGGATTATTTCCAAGGTTTTGAGGTCTGTTATAAGTTATTGTAGACCGTAGACCACTCATCCCCTGCTTAGCTGTTCACGCGAGAGTCCAGCGGCCCCAAAGCCCCGTCATATTCTTGACGAGATTACCTCACAAAATGCGTTTGCATTGCCCTTGTGGCAAGGACAACTTGGCTTTCAAAAAGATCAGGGGCTTCGCCGCCCCCACCATTTTCTCCGGGATGTAGCCACGAATGCGCCATACCTGTGGGGGAGTTCTCATTTGTTTGTTACATATTTAAGTTATTGAAAACGTGGTGGAATTGTTTTAAAGATTTGAAACCAAAGCAGTAAGCAATGTGTTTGAACTGTTTGCATTGGCTGCACAGTGCTCAAACCCTTCGCCTGGGTCAGTGCTGGTGATGCAAGGATTTGGGAAGCATCAAAGTAGCTAGCGCAATTGGCCGCCTTGACATTCTTCAACTGGACCGCAGATGGCTTCCAAACCATGCAAGAATCCTCCTTGATCCCGACTTCGAACCTGAGGGCCATTAGCTGCAACCATAAACTGAAACCAGAAGGGCCATTAGCTGCAACCATAAACTGAAACCAGACACACGATTTAATGCTATATTGTTTGCTAACCGCCGGCCTATCTTCTTCTTCCTGGTTTTGGCAAACGGAGGCTGGGCGAGCGCAGTGGTGCCCGGCGAGTTCATAGTCGACGAGGCCGGACAGTTCCACCTGCTGGAGGGCTGACCGAAGGGTCATCGGGATGCCATCATTTCCTTCTTTGTCCTCGAAGCGCGGTTTGGGTGGCATCTCATGATTATATCATACCGTGATACCATCTCATGATTATACCAGGTTAAGATTCCTCCCAAAGTTTCAGATGGACATTATTTTTACTTCACAAACTAAACACCAGCTTTGAAACTTCATGTCCTCCACAACCACAATGTCTCGGTCGCTTGTCAAGACAAACTCATAGCCTTTTGTTGGGTGCTCCTGCACAGGTTTCTTGCTAGATTTTACATTGAATGTAAAATATATTGAAAAATGTGAATAATGTGACTATTAAAATTGGTAGAACCACATCTTGCCAGCAATGACTTGCAGTTTTATTCGGCAAATGCAAGTCTTCATGGTAACCAGCCCAAACAAAAATGAACCTGTCCTGTTTGAAGGTTTTCGCCTTCTGATGAAGCAACCAACTTCCAGCTCCGAATGTCAACGCGGGGTCTTCATCAGTAACTTCTCCATCAGCGACACCTCGAAGAAATAGCACAGGGCCATCATGGATGGAAGCCTGAATCTCCGTGTTCAACATGAACGAATGGCATGCTACGCCATACTTGCTCTCGAGGTCTGCAACGGTTGTCGGCTCGTCCGGGAAGATGTTGCTCCAAGACACTTCCTCAGTAGCGGCCGTGCTGCTGGGCTCTTCCTTATGGCCAGGAGAGCTAGACTAAGCAGGTTGGACGTTCCCAGGACTGCTGGAATCCGACGCGGCGTTGCTCCATTTCTTGTCAAAGCCTTGCAAGAGCTCCCTCCATTCTCTGCCCCTAATCGGGTCTGAAATCCACTGGGCTCGGATGGTCCCGGGGAGAGAGAGGTGATCCTGATCGTCGATGCAGCAAATCAGCAAGTCCGGCTTCTCAATGGAGATGGGATCATCATCGACTGGGGTTTGCCGGTACTTTGGTGTACACTTGCCGATGGAACCGCTGCCAGCTTTCCAAGCCTATGCAGGGAACACGGGAACACACATGAGCATTGCAACAGCACTGGGCCCCTGGCATAGTAAACTTAAAAGTAAACAAAGTTTTGAACGACATCTAAACATGACTGACAGGTTGGCATTAAGCTTCTGCCTCCAAGAGTTTGTTGGCAATTGTCATCAACGTGTAGCTGTAGTGGACTTGAGTATCGGTGACGCTCATGACAGGAACACCCAAATTGATGCAAGCCCGCTCAATTGCCCCATCATAGGCAGTGCTGTGCACAACTGCGCACTTCTTGATGTGCTCGCCTGTCAAAACACAGGCTTGGCTTGACAAAACAACACCTGGCTGACCAAGACAGGTTGAGAGGACACAAACATGATCCTCTCAACCTGGCAAAGACAAACTCGAAAGCTTTCCTCAAATCAACCAAAGTGCAAACAGCTCCTTCAATCAACTTGGCAAAGGTCATCTCACCACCAAGCCACTGTGATGTTTCCTGCACATCGCTCAAATTTCTCCTGCCATCATAGCTTGCGAGGTGAGTCTTCGGAGACGGAACCACAAAGTCGGCTTCTGCAAGACCTGTGGGCCAACTATCCAAAGGCAGCCCTTGCAATCTCCACAGCACGCTGTTGGTGAAGATGTTGACTTCAGTGACACTTCCGTCGGACTCATCCCGCTTGTTCTTTCGATGGCCGGTACCCTTTGAAGGCAAACTGCAATCGTTAACACCCAACCAAGCAGAGTAGTACAGTGGGCGTTCTGTGTTCTTGTGAAGGCCAGAAAGGTCAACGCCTATCTGCACACTTCTCAAG